GGGGCAGCCCAGATGGGTTTACCTCTGCATTGCCAGTTGCTCTGCTTCCATTGCCGTAGCCATCCCCACAGGGCATTTGCTACCATCCATGAGTCGGTATAGAGATAGAGCATTGGCCACTTTTCTCGTTCAGCAATGTCTAAAGCCAGAGTTGGATGGCTTTCACCTCTGCAAACTGACTTGATTCACGTTCTCCTTCAGTAGCTTCTGCGACCCGTCGAGTAGGACTCCATACAGCAGCTTTCCATTTTCAATGTTTTCATACAAGATGACAGGATCCGTCATTAAACAGAGCGTATTTCTTCTCATTGTCTGATAGTTCATTATATGGTGGAGCCTCCTCAGCACATGTCACCTCCTCCTCCTCTGGTGACATTCCAAAGTCTTTACCTTCAGTCCAGTTAGTGATCACTTCCAAAATTCCTGGGCGATTGGGGATTCCTATCTAGCTCTTTGTGTGATCAGTGCAATCCACTTACTCCATGTAGCATCAGTTGCGTGGTGTGTAGACGGGACGCTCCCTTTGAACATCCAGCCGAGCACTGGCAATTGGGGTGCCAGGAGCAACTGTGCTTCCGTACCAATCACTTCAGAAGCAGCTCAGACTCCTTCATATGCTGCCAGTATTTCTTTTTCAGTTGGAGTATAGCGGGCTTCGGATCCTTTGTATCCTCAACTCCAAAACCCAAGAGGTCGACCTCGTGTCTCCTCTGGTGCTTTTTGCCAGAGACTCCAGGCAAGACCATTCTCCCCGGCTGCAGTGTAGAGCACGTTTTTGACATCTTGTCCTGTCCGGACTGGTCCCAGGGCTACTGCATGGACTGTTTCTTGTTTAATTTGTTCAAAACGGACTGGTCCCAGGGCTACCGCATGGACTATTTCTTGTTTAATTTGTTCAAAGGCTTGTTTTTGCTCTGGGCCCCATTCAGAATTGTTCTTCTTTTGGGTTACTTGATAGACGGGTTTTACAATCTGGCTGTAATCTGGAATATGCATTCGCCAGAAACCCACAATGTCTAAGAAAGCTTGTAGCTTGTGCTTCCTTTTTGTTGGTTGGTGGGGACATAGCTCTTATTTTGTTAATCACGTCCATCGGAATTTGACAACGTCCATCTTGCCATTTTATTCCCAAAAACTGAATCTCCTGTGCAGGTCCCTTGACCTTACTCTGTTTTATGGCGAAACCAGCTTTCAGAAGGATTTGAATTATCTTTTGACCTTTCTCAAAAACTTCTTCTGCTGTGTTGCACTTCTGCTGTGTTGCTCCATACAATGATGTCATCAATGTATTGCAAATGTTCTGGGGCTTCACCCTGTTCCAGTGTGGTCGGGATCAGTCCATGGCAAATAGTGAGGGCGGTGTTTCCACCCCTGGGGCAGTCGATTCCAGGTATACTGGACGCCTCTCCAAGTGAAAGCAAACTGTGGCCTGCATTCTGCTGCCAAAGGAATTGAGAAGAATGCATTGGTGATATCAATTGTAGCGTACCACTTGGCTGCCTTTGACTCCAGTTCATACTGAAATTCCAGCATATCTGGCACGGCAGCACTCAATGGTGGTGTAACTTCATTCAAGCCATGATAATCTGCTGTCAGTATCCACTCGCCACTGGACTTAGGCACAGGCCATATGGGGCTGTTAAAAGGTGAGAGTCAGCCTCCACTCGCCATTGTACTTACACACAGGCCATATAGGGCTGTTAAAAGGTGAGCGGGAAGTCTGCTTTTTCTCTTAATCCTCGGACCTCCTTTTCCACAGCCGCAACACAGGCTCGTATAGAAGTATTATCATCATATCGTTGGAGGTAGGTGACCAGATTACCTACGGTTGGTGGTGTATCATCGTCTCCAAAGTCCATTATTGCCAATGAGGTGGAATATGCTGATGGCACACTCTGTAGAATCTTTTGCTACATTGGTCGTGTGCACTGGGCGTCATCTGGATCCTCACATCTTGGTCCGCTTCTCGAGTCAAAAGAAATCAACTCTCGCACAGCCAGTTCTCTCAGATACTGAATAGCTCTCTCTATGTTGGTCCACTTGCTTACATTACATGATACCTCGTCCTTGTAGGGATACCTTTCCTTTATAGCTGCCAGGAGCCGTTCCCAGAGGCTGCGAACTTGTGTCTGCCTTCCAATTGCTTTATCAAAGCCGCCATCCATGGCAAGGGCTCCCAGCCGCCTAAACTTGTGTCTGTCTTCCAATCGCTTTATCAATGCCTCCACCCATAGCAAGGGCTCCTAGCTGCCTGGCTTCTTTACCATCTAACTCCAGACTATTGCCTCCCATGTCCCAGCATCTGAGCAACCAAGAGACAATGGGCTCACCTTTAAGGCGGCCATAATCTTTTCGAATATCTCACAGCTCGCTCATTTTTAGAGATCTGGTGGTTATAGTCTCATCTGTGATCTCACTTCTCCTCCATTGAGATTTTCTCTGGGGTGAAACAGAACGCTCCATTTCTCGTGATGGCCCTGGTCGCTCTTCATCCTCATCAGGGTGAAACGGAACGTTCCCACTTCATCTCTTGTTGTCGTGATGGCCCTGGTTGCTCTTCATCATCATTGTCTCCTCTACGTTCTGACTTTTGTACACATTTCCTCAGTTGCTCTTCCTCCAGTTGTTGTGATGGCTCTGGTTGCTCTTCATGATCATCTCCTCTATGTTCCAACTTTTGTACACATCTTCTTTTCCTTATGGGGGCAACTGATACCGTTGTAGTCTGAGTAGCTATAGTGCTTGTCATAGGAGTTGAGATGGCAAGCACAATAACAGGAGAAGTAAACTGGTATACACCCCAAATGGTCAATTGACTTTGAATATATATATAATTAAACATATATTTAGGAGACCTTGCAGCAAAATCAAACCCGTTAAATTATTCCAATGATGTTCAGCATTATCAAAATCGACATAAGCTTTTGTAAATGAGAAGTCACCGGTGTAATTGGCAATGACATCTGCCAGGTGATGCTCAAAATTAATAAACGAGCTCCACATCACCATCCCCCTCTGCACCACCGAATACAGAGACTGAGCTGGTCCCAGCACTGATGATCTTATCAGTGTTACACTGTACAGTACGGCAAACCCCTTAATTAATGATAACATACTTTTCATACTGGTCCAACACCCCGAGCCAGAAAACCGCATAAACATTCCACCTAATATCATATAAGGTAGATAAGGCAATAAAACATACATGTCTGGTAACATGTATGAAAGCATAACAAACAGCATTCCAGCCAGCAACATCCAGGAAAAACACAATGGCAGCCCCACGTTGGGCGCCAATTAAGACTGTCGTGGGTTAGGTTGAAATCCCTTTGAGCCCCATGTTGGGCCCCAATTTAAGACTGTTGTGGGTTCGGCCGCTCCGGCAACCAAACCCTACACAGTCGCTCACTCACCTTCCCCTAGCCGCAGGGATGAGGGAGAGAATTAAAGGAGAAATGGGAAACCCGTGGGTTGAGATAAGAACAATTTAATACAGATGATTTAATACACAGTGTAGATGCTCACCACCCCCTCTTATGCGAAGCCCGTCTCGTCCCGAAGCTGCAATCCCGGACGAACGCAAGGCCCCGAAATAGAGAGGGGGAGAGACAGTTAGTACTCTGAAAGTGGGAATACTGGGAGAGAGAGGTGGGGGGGAAAGGCAATAGAGCAAAAGCTCAAAAAGTCCTTTCCGGCTGTCCCTCACTTTTATACTGGGCATGACGCTGCATGATATGGAATACTAATTGGCCAGTTTGGCCCTCAATCTTAAGTTCCACCACAAATCACAAGGGGAATCGTGTCCCCCTTGTCCCAGCTATGCTCCCCCCTTATCCCACTGTGCCTCTGCACTCTGGCCAGAACACGGCACACTGAGAAGTCCTTGGAGTTTCACTTCCAACCACGAACATCAGCTTGCTATCAACATTCTTCTCAGAGCGAGCCTCTGAGT